ACTAATTATGGATTTTTAAAACCTACATTTCAAAATTATAAACCATAAAAAATATTTTGACACCTAAAACCTCTTAAACCCTCAAAACTAAACTCTATTACAACATAGTTAACCCAAACATAAATGATATAATGAATTTTTTTTTTAAAAAATGGCAATTTTGCAAAATTTTTGAAAATATGACATTTTTTAATGATATTTGAAAAGTGATATTTTTAAAAATTTCTCTTATTATTACGTATGTATGATCATGATCGTTTAGACTAATGATTTTCATCAATCGTATGTAGTTCTTGATAATTAAAAAAATTGTCAACCAAAGGAACTCTTGATATCATGTAACATATTTATAGTATCTGAAACTAAATGGTGTTGGTCTAGTGGTTCAATGATTCATTCGAAGTAGTTTTTTGGGAGAGTTCAAATTTTTCTAATGCAATTTCAGTCATTTACCTATTCGTAAAAGTTTTCAGTGACAAAAAACAATATGAATCTTTATTGATTTTGAGATTAGTTTGAATTAAGATTTTGCGGTTAACAAAAAAAAAAATATATGTTCTTTTCTCAAATAAAAACAACAATAAATATTTATGTGATTTGAAATTTTTCAAAAAATTATCATATGTTTATACTGTATATAGTTACAAAAATAAAGATCGATAAATCTAGTAGGAAAATGGTGATTTGGTGAAAAAAAGGGTTACAAAGGGAAAAGAAGTGGTGAAAAGTATAGACACAAGAGGGGACGTGTGGGAAGTGTGGCGACAATTGGGTTGCAACAAGTTCCACTCGCGCTCTCTTCTCCACAACACATTCCTTTTTTTGTTCTTCAACCAAATAAGAAAATAAAAACAATTTATTAGGGGGACCAATTCAATAAGTATTCATTATTCTTTTCCCCGATTTCACAACAGCCTAATTGTTTTATAATTTAATAAGTATTTATTATTCTTTTCCCCGTATTCACAACAACCTAATTGTTTTATAAGTAGATCAAATTATAATTCAAAAAAAAACGAGACTAGTCAAAGTATGTAAGCATTTCAACACAATTCCACGTAATCTTGTACGGCAACCTTTACCCACTTAAGAGTAATTAATAAAAAGTTAGTATATTATCAAACTTTTTATTGTCTAATTGAATCACGTATTTCTTTAAATCTTTTATGATCATAGTCATTTCGATAGTATGATTATTTATGTTTCTCTTCTCCAATTAATGCAGCCAGCCAATAGAGGCATCTATAAGTCTACAACCCATAATTATGATCGTAGGGCTACATGATTAGAATGGGAATATATAGTCTAAGAGTGAACACGAATTAGTTTTTTTCTC